CTGGAGAGGCAGAGATGCTCGGGGGCACCTTGCCTGGCCAGGGCCAAAGGATGCTCCTGACTCCCAAGTCCCGTCAGCATCCAGGCTGTTTGGTCCCCTCTGACTCCTGCTCAGACCTAAAGAACCCCTTCTAGAAGAACCTGACGCTGAGGAAGAAGAAGAGCACATGCCACTCCGAAGGCAGCCGGGTCAGAGGTCCAGTAAGACGTTTGCTTTCTCCACCTATGGCATTCCGGCTCCTGCAGCCTTCACCCCTCTGCAGTTCCTGAGCACATGTGGAGAGCTGGCCTTTCTAGGCATGAGAAGAATTGGTATGGATGCCTATGGAGATTCTGGGTCATCCAGGCCATCGTTGTCTCCAGTGCTTTTTTCAAGGAAGGAACCTGGTCCAATTGCCTTTTGAAGAAAGCACCTTTGGGATAAGAATTGGGAGGTGCCTTGGAGGTGGTCCCAGGGCAGGAATCCCACCTACCACTCTGGAGAAATGGTTGCCCAGTATTTTCTTAAAAACCTCCCACAGCACCAGGAGGCAGGTTGTCCATTACTTGGTAGCTTTGACAGCCAGGAAATTTCTCCACAGTTCAGGTTTGGCCCTCCCTCTATAAAGCTTCCACCTCTTGGTTCTTGTCCCCTCGTGGGGAACGTATCCATACTTTCTTCCTGGGGCATCCCTGGGAAACTGCTCTCCTATCTCCCTGTGTTCCTGTAACTACTATTCGTAGCTACCTTCCAGCCTCCTGACCACCGTTGCTGCTCTTCCCTGCCCCCCTCCCAGTTCCTCGGCAACTTTTCTGTATGGGGCAAGCAGAACTGAATAGAGGATTCCACCCCCACCCCCCTTACATTTCTATGTCGCCTCCCGACAAAGCTCACCACGTGCCTTTAAAGCTTCCCCAGAAGTCCTCTTGACCTGGGTGGCATTGAGAAGATTCAGCAGATAAAGCCAATCCTGGAGCTGGCCTACCTGCCACCTGCCGAGGCACCTGCCTTCCTGTTCCAGGCCCTCCCATGGGAGGAAAGGAGGTTGGCTTGCAAAGCTCGCATTGGGCTGTTTTTCTGGTGCCTCAAGATCAAAGGTTGCTCTTGTTTTTTTTATTGCTTTTTAACTAAAAAAACAGGAGGGGAAAAAGGGTTGTATGAAGTGGTTGTGTTGTGCAGCTGCTTCTGCCAAGGATGGCCATGAGTGCCCCTCCTCACCTGGGGCGGCTGCTTCTCTTCCAGCTGAGCCAAGCACTGGAGAGGGAGCCAACAGAAGCAACCAGATCGCCCTGCCCTGCCCTGCGTGAGCTTGCTTAACAAAGGGGCTGCCGAGTCTGCCGTTTTCTTGGCAAAGTGATGCCGTGACCTTTCAGGGTCTGTGCTTGGAGAGGTGGAGTCCTGAAGAGGCTGTGCCTGTGTGGAAGAAAGATTCAAACAGTACCATAAACATAGCGGCCAGTTCAGCCAGAGGAGCCTTCAGGAGATCAAACTCTGCATCTGCCACAAATTTAGACAAAGAGAATATTCTGTATAAGGACAGGGTCTTCCTTGTGTGTGAATTCTTCAGAGACCATTGGTGGAGTCCAGTTTTCATCCTTCCCCAAGATTATGGCCATTTGGGCCTTCTGCTCAGCCAGCCCTTTCCCAGCGGCTTCTGCAGGTTTGCCTTCTTTTTAGTGACGCAGTTCTGGTGTTGCACTCTTGTGTTCTGGGTGGTGTAACATTATGAAGCAGGTAGACAAAAGGCAGCACTGGGGACCCTCCTGGGCTGCAGCTGGGACCCTGCCCAGTGAGGCGGCTCTGGTGGTCAGGCACTGAGAGCATCAGTGGACAGGAGGAACCAGGCGAGCCCCCTCCCATTTCATGGGTTCAGATGCTGCAATCATCTTCATGTCCCAGTTGGTTAAAGTAGTTCCATGGTCCCAGGTCCCCACCCAGGGGGGGGGGGTGTCCAGCACCTCCACCAGCACATCCCCCCCCCCCAGTGTCATCCCAACCTAAATTCTTCCATTCTTTTTCAGCTTGTGAGGGACTGAATGTTCTTTGGAACAAGTTGGAAACAATAAAACAGGAATTGATCATAGAAACTGACTTTCCCAGCCCAGCCCAGCAGAGCAACTTAGAATCATAGGGCTGGAAGAGGTCTTCTAGTCCATCTCCCTGTTCAAGGTAGGGGCCTTATGCCGATCAAAGGGCTGTCTGGTCTACTGAAAATCTATTTCCTTGATTGTTCTCACTGACAGCATTTTTTTTACTTTTAGGTTGGATCTTTCCTTAACCAGCTTCCTCTCACTTCCTTGTCCTCCCCCCCCCCCTGTGCTTTGGAGAATAAGTCAATCAGCTCCTCTCTGTGGCAGGTGGAGAGAACTGGAAGACAGTTATCATGACACCCCCCCAATTCCTTCCCTTTGATCAGTTAGACACACGCAGCTCCCTCGACTGTTCATCATACGATTTAGCCTCATGCCTCCTAATCATCTTTGCTGCTTTCCTTGGTAAGACCACAGTTGGAATATTGCATTCAGTGTTGGTCACCATGGTATTAAAAAAAACACTGAAACTTTTTCTAGAGTGCAGAGAAAAGCAACAAAGATTAGGGGACTGGAGGCTAAAACAGAACGGTTGCAGGAATTGGGTACGTCTGGTGTACTGAAAAGAAGGACTGGGGGTGACAGTATTGTCATATTTGAGGGACTGCCACAAAGAAGTGGGAGCAGTCCCTTAAATTCTCCTTCAAAGTACCTGAGGGCAGGACAAGAAGTAATGGATGGAAGCTAATCAAAAAAACTAACCTAGAACTAAGGAGAAATTTCTTTTCAATGAGAACAATGAATCTTCTGAAGTTGGGGAGGCTCCATCCACTGAAGGTTTTAAAAAAGAGACCACAGCCATTTGTCTGAAGTAGGATCTCCTGCTTGGGCAGGGGGTTGGACTTGTTCTTTTAATTCTTTATGCACTTTCCAAACTCTCGACATTGTTTTTGTATCATGATCAGAAAACTACGCAGTATCCCAAGTGTGGCCTCACTAGTGCAGTATAAAACTGCTACTATCGCTTCTCATGATCTTGACTATCTGTTATCTGTTGATACAGCCTAGTATTGTATTGACTTTTTGGGCAGCTGCAGCACCATGCTGGCTCATATTTATGGGGTGATCTATTAGGATACTAACATTCTTCTGACACATTGTGGAGCAATGTACCTCCTATTCTATACCTATGCATTTGGTTTGTCCTACCTAAGTACAGGACCTTAATGTATCTCACCATTGAACTGCATCTTATATATAGGACTCAGTGTTCAAGTCTGCCAAGTTCCTTCTGGATCCTGATCCAATCTTCTGGAGTGTAATCTGTTCCCGCCATCTTTTAGTCATCTGCAAATCTGATGAGTTCCCCTTCTGTTCCCTCATCTGTCATCTATGAAGATGTTGAAGAGCTAAGACAGAACCTGGACACCCTGCTGCATACTTTCCTCCATGTATATGTAGTTCCATTGAGGGCTAAATGTTGAGTGTGGTTGGTCAGCCAGTTATAAATCCATCTGGTGGTGATGTTGTCTATCCCACATTTTTGTATCTTATTGAGATGTAAGCTACAGTCTACACTGCTACCTTCATCTTGGCCAAGAGGAAAGAGAAGAGGATGCAAGGTGGACAGACTGTTTGGGTGGCAATAACTGGGAGACTTGAAATAACAGGGTTGATTGTCTTAGAGAAAATCTTATGCTATTGTTAGGAATCGAAAAGGACTTGATGACTCATAATTAGTCACTTAATATAAAGTGCTCTCTCGACTCTGAGATTTGGATTTGGAGACTTTGTGTGAAATTAAACATAGTGTCAATCCCACAGCCAGCATTAATCTTCTTCATAAATGTCACAACCCTGGGGTTCTTGGTTAGAACTAGACATGTTGGGAGGCACAAGAGAAGTGGAAGAATCCACTTTGGATCTTGCAGGTGGGCTCTGGGAAGGTGGGATAGGCAGAATAATGAATGATTGAAGAAATGTGTGTAGAAAGCTTGGTTACTCCATCCATAGGGTTGTTAGGAGAGCTAAAGCTGAGATTCTCCCTTCATTCACTATTCACCAAGAAGAATGATCAAAAGGCATGGCTGATTAAGAAGGACCAAAGAGATGAGAATGGAATAGAACAGAACAATAGGGCTGGAAAGGACCTTGGAGGTTTTCTAGTCAAAGGCAGGAGTCCTTATATCATCCTGGAGAAATGATCGTCCAATCTTTTCTTGAAAACTCCTACAATAGAACACCCATAACTCCAGATGGCAAGCTCTTCCAGTTGCTCATTGTCCTCTCAGTCAGGAAATTCCTCTTTACTTCTAGGTAGGATCTTTCTTTGTAAGCTTTCATCCATTACTTCTTGTCCTGCCTTCAGGTGCTTTAGAGAATAAGTCAAGGCCTTCTCTGTGACAGCCCCTCAAGTACTGGAAGTGCTATTCTGTCATGCCCAATGCTTCTGTTGGAAAGGCGAGACATATCTCGTTCCCTTAGCCATCCCTAGGGGTCAGCCTCCAGACCCTTTCTTGTCCCATTATCACCTTTGCTCAGTCCAGTGAGGGACTTCTGTTTGGTGGAGATAGCAGGATATGGACCAGGAGGGCCACTGCCTCCTCTCACCCATCTCCAAATCTAGAACAGACCTTCCTCAGCCCCTCCCTGCTGGATCAGCTCCTCTGAATTAGCCATCTGGGTTTCAACTGGCTATTGTTACAGCTCCCCAGATGTTAGTCCTTCCCTTCTTGCTCCCCACCCCTCCTGAAGCTGCTCAACCCATGAATGTGGAGGCTAAAGGCGGCTGTCGAGACGGACGCTCTTGGGTGCCAAGGATGTGTTGCCCAAAGGATGCTGATGCAGGAGTCATGTGCCCAGCCATTGTTAATACCCACTCCAGACATAGAGTGCTGTGTCAAGGGCTGGCATCAAAAAATCTGCCAAGGCTTGGCACCAGGTCACACTACGATATCTTCCCTTTCCCCTTCTCCAGCAGTGATCTGCACATTCCATTCAAGAGACTCTTTAATTTACAGTGTTGGAGTTACAAAATTATAGAAAGGCATTGCCATGGCCGGAGAGAGTCCTCCGCCCTTGGATGTTGCTCCTCTGGTCAGAACCCCCTGTCCGCAGCAGCACCGGCTGGTGCCCCCTACGAGTTCTCTCTGAACCACTGCAGGACAAGTGGCTTGTGGTCTGCAACCCACTTGATGTTGGCCTTTGTTCTCTCCAGAGCCTGCTCAAGCGCCCGGGTGGCGGAGCCGAAGCCCACATCCGCGTTGTCTGTCTTGAACTTCTTCAGCTGTCGGCCAGTCAGAGAGAGAAGAAAGAAGCATGTTTCCCAAGTGTGCTGGATCAGATCAGCACCCCCCCCCCAAGTGTTCAAAGGGACTCCCCACTGGCACCCTTCCTTCACATCTCTCCCCCATCACATTCTCCCCTCTGCACCAGGATCGGGCAGGAAGAAGGGCTTCTGGGAACAAGCTCAGGAACTCACCCAGCAACCATTTTGAAAAACCCTAGCGAGATAAAGAGCTGCCCAATGCTCCCGTTGCCAGCCAGGGAGGCAGCAGCACCTTTAGGAGATGCCTTTGCCTGGTTCTCTGGCATCCAGTACTTTCCTCACTGGGTAGATACATAAAATGAGGACTTGCTGCTCCTAAAAGGTGGCTGTCGCTCCCCATGAACCCTCCCCAAACCTCAAAAGCCTCACCTGTTCAAGTTCAAGTGGAGACGAAAATCTCTGGGTCACTGACTGGATGAGGCTGGAGAAAGAGAAGGAGCTTCCCCCAAACCTGGGACAGAAGATGGGCGAATGAGTGGCTGGTCTCCCATCACCCAGCCCTGGGGGAGGGGGGGAGAGGGCACACTCACTGCTGGAATAGGGTCCTCCAGTTCACGCGCACAAAATCCCAGGCCAGAGGCTGCCCCACTATATTGCTGGCAATGCTGTTGATGGTGGAGGTGGCGTCCTGGCGGCGGATCAAGGTGGAGTTCAGAGTGTATTGAAGGTACCTGCGAGAGATAAATGGGCAGCTCCAGGAATGTGTGCCCCCTCCCCAAACAGCTGCAGCCCAGGCTTCCCTTTTTTAGGCAATGGCACAATTGTGGCGATGGACGGGGCCACAAAGATCTTCTGATCCAGCCCTCTGCTCAGTGCAGGGAAACCATCCCTGAGTGGTGGCTGTCCAGCCTCTTCTCAAAATCCTCCAGAGGGAAATGCCCACCTCCAAAGGGAGAGGCCACTACTGGGCAGCTGTTCCAAGCAGGAAGCTCTCCTTCCCTTCAAATGCAGCTCTTTACCTGAGATCCCCCACCTGCCCTTGTCTGAGAGCCAGGGGTCGGCTGGGGGATGCCTGAATTGTGCCCCAGGGCTAAAAAGGAATCCTGGTGGTCTCCCCACTTGTCTCCGGCAATCGGGTGAAGCCCAGTGAGCTGCCACCCCCCACCCTGGGCAGAGATCAGCTTACCTGTGAAGGATCCAAGGGGTCTTGCTGCAGGTCAGGGCCGAGCGCAGCTTGTCGGCCTCCGAGATCACCTGGGCCTTCTGAAACATCTCCCAGGCGAAGTCCCAGGCCTCCAGGCCTCCTGTGCTGATGGCGCTGCAGTAGATGGCGGAGCGCAGATTGGGCGGGATCCTGAAAGCGAGACCGTTACTGAGAGGCGCCTCGGGCAGAGAGGGGGGAGGGAGGAGAAACTGGGGCAGGTGCAGGAAGGAGTTTCACTGGGAATGAGGTCCAGCATGTCTAGAGGGCTGTCTGGGGAAAATGAGGTGAGGTTTTGTGAAATGGGCAGGGTGTGTGGATCCCAGCCATTAACCATCCCCAAGATGGCGGCAACCGAGGCTCCCTTTGGCCTAAAAGAACAGATGCCCACTGCCACCAGCAGGGACAGAGGCAGCTGTGCCAGAGGCTAAAAGTGCCCTACTCAGAAAAAGCAGTTTCCTCGACTGGGGTGTGTGTGTCTCCTGACCAAGAAAACTCAGTGGCCGATGCCTTTCAAGATCAGTTTGCCCTTCTTGCAAAGAGGGGGGGGGGGCTTTGTGCCCATCCCAAATCCACGCCATCCTGGGAATTAAAAAATCTCGTCTCTAGCTCTGCTGTAGCCCAGGTGTGATGCTTTCTTGGTATTGGTATTTAAGTGCCCTTTGATGAATAAATAATTAAATATGAAAGTTGTTAGGCTCTGTCCTCTGAGTGCAGCGTAGGGCTCTCAAATAAATGTTGATGCCGCTTTACATAAAATGGTTGGGCTGCATTCATACGTATATGTAAAAATTAGTAATTTCACAACAATTAAAATTAAAGTCAAAACAGTAACATCATTTTAATTTAATTGTTATTGTTAAATTATAAATAACAATTTTGAATTGTTTTGTTAAGTTAAAGCAATAATATCTTTCCTCCTGTAAAGCAGTAAAATGTTGCATTGCTATGCCTGCAGGTTACTGCTTGGTTGTTGTCCCACACAACTGGATTGTGCTGTACACTGCCTGTACATCCCAACGAGTGTGGAGAAATGCAGCCGCAAGCAAGGTAGCAAGGCGGGTGGGTGGCTGGGTCCTGTGGAGCCCCCAGCAGGGTTTGGGCTCCAGAAACAATGTGAGCTGCTGTGGCTGGAAGATGCCGGCTGCAATGGCCGGAAACAGAGGGAGGGCAGGCAAGGCAGGGATCAGCCAAGGCCAGGACCCCCAACCCCAGGCCTGCCTGGCTTTCTGCCAACTGATAGACGCACGGAGAGCTCTTCGACAGAGAAATGCTGAAGGAAAAGCCACCCATGCTGGGTCCTTCCAGGAAACACCTGGCTGGTTTGGCTGACTACCATCTCCAATGCAAGAAGGCCCAAGAGGACTAGCGTCCTTGAGGGGATACTAGTCAGTAGGGAAGACTGTTAGGGGAACCGAAGGGAGAGGAAAATTGGGTCCCAGAGCTTTGGTTCCTGTGTGGACTGGTGCCTTGGACTTTCCTCAGGAATAGCAAATGGGAACAGATCATGTGAAGAGCGTGGTAGGGATTTCTAAAGGTATCCTGCAAACGGTTCTAACCTAGGGCAGCAGAAGAGGCAAAGGTGGCTACGTAAAAAGACCTGGAAATATACAAAGGCTGGGAAGATGGACGGGGCAAGGGTGGAGGAAGATAAGGGCCAGCACTAGAACCAATGTTGGAGAAACTGAAGCTCAGGACAAGGGGGGCAAAATGTGAGGACAACCAAATGTGTTCTTGTGAATACAGAAATCCCTTGGCTTCCTAGAGTTGGGTCAAGTGGACCTTGGATGGAATGGGCAAAGTCTAGCTGGGCGTTTTGGGGTTCACCCACAAAGCCTCCTTGCCTGAGCTTGGCATCGACGGGGGAGAGATTTCACAGTGGCACCTCCATCCGAGGGTCAGCCTGCTGCTGAATGGAGATGACCCAGGAAGCGAGGGAAGGAAATCCCCTGTGGAAGCCTCCGGGTCCCCCAAGAAGGCCTGTCTGCTTTCACCTGCCCCCACGATCTGGCCATGGGGGTCTCCTACTTCCAGACTGACTACCAATAGAACAAACTTTCCTCAGGCTGGGTGGGAGTGGGGCTGACTCTGCAAACCCCAAAGGTCTTCTGTCCCAGATGTGGAGGGGGGGCTGCTCTCTGGCCGAGGAGAGGAGACATTGGCGGTGGGGGCTATTCAGCCAAGAGGCAAAGCCAAAGGTCTAACGAGGCTAAGCCCGAGAAGTAGGGCGGGGCCTCTGCTCTGGCCCAGCATCCAAAGGGAAAAGGTGGGCAGAGGCGCATGCCCCCCCACCGTGGGGCTGCCCCTCTTGGGGAGCCGGGCAAGACCAGGGAGTTAAGAGGGCTTAAAGGCCGCTTACTCTCCCACACTGAGCAGGAGGGACTGGAGAAAGGACGGCCTGCCCAGAAAGCAGCTCCACTCCCCCCCCTCTGGGCTTCCCATGCTCACCCCCCCCCCCAGGGCCAGCCACTCTCTCACCTGTTGATGCTGGGGTTGGCTTTCCAGTCGTTAAACCAGGAGGAGGCCAGCTCATTGCACTTAGGGACACCATAGGAGCAGGCAGTGCGGATGGCCAGGATCTGGTTATACCTGGATGAGGGGAGAAGACAGGGATCTGAATTCAGGGGCAGTGACCCTCTCCCCCCTTTCTCTTGCCATGCACAGACAAGCCCCCTCCCCCTTCCTCCTCATCCATGGAGACTCACTGGTCCATCAAGCCCTCTGGGATTTGGGTCCAGTTGCGAGTGAGGTTCTGGAAGTGGTCAAACAAGGGAATGATCTGCTTCCGGATGTATTTCTGAACAGGGAGAGAAAGGCCTGAGTAGGGACAGTGGGAGAGCAGCCCTTTCGCCCCCACCCAGGATCTCCTCTGTTGGAAGGACGGGCCGAGACTGGCTGGAGCTCAAACCTCCATCGGCTCGTAGACTTCGCTGCGGTCAAACATGAGGCGGAAGTAGTCCAGGTTGTTCAGGGCCGTGTCCCAAGGCAGGTACTCCCTCTCCTGGGCCAGGTAGCGGGTGGTGTTCAGGGCCAGGTCGCTGCCCACATGCTTGGCTCTGAAAGAGCAGCAGAGGGGCTGGCTATGGGGCTGGCCTCTGCTCTGCCTCAAGGCTTAGCCCAGAAGAGGCGCCCCTGGGTGGGTGCAGTAGCCTCCCACCGAGAGGGCCCCTGGGACTCCTGTCCTGGAAAGCCCCCCTGTCAGATGGGAACAGTTCAGCCTAGCGGGATCTCCTAGGCAGAGGGAGGATTGTAATTCTGCTCCCCAGCAGCAGGGGGAGATAAAGGGAGTCTCACCTGGCCAGGTTGAAAGCATCATCGATGATCTGAGCACGATTTAGAATGGGGATCATCTGCAAAAGAACAGAGCAGTCAGAGAAACTGAATCGAGAGTAGCAAAACCAGGCGGTGGGCAAGAGGAGAATCCCGGAAGCTCACATCCTGCCTGGAGGCCGTTGCCAGCTGCAGCTGTGTCGGCAGAGGGCTCCCTCTACTGAGAGAGTGTTGGAGGGAGAGCCTCTCATCCACAAATGGAGAACGAGAGCCAAAGCATCCGAAAGGCTCTTCTGGAGAAGCTGGCTGGGGGTGTTTGGGAGGCACATAGGAAGGGCAAACGGATGCTGTGGGACCCAGGAGGAGGAATGGCTCCGGGGGTGGGGTGGGGAAAGGAAGCGGCTCCCTGCTTTCCCACTTCCTCTCTCTTGGAGGTCTTCCCCGACCCTGGAGGCAGCAGGAGCGGCTACTTCAGCATAGCCATTTCTGGGACAGCCTTTGATAGCCTACCTGAAGGTCTTCATTCAGCTGATTCATGAGCCTCTCCCAGTTTTCCAAATCGTAGTTTACCCGGAAATAGCCCGTGACATTAACATTGAGAAGCAGCCACTTGGCAGGGTCAGCAGAAGTCGAAAAGTTGGCATTTTCAGCTGCAAAAGAGGAAGAGAAGTTGTCCCTCTCTACTGCAAGAGCCGCCCTGCTCCTCTTCAGGGGCGACAGGGAAATCTTAGACATTTTGAATGGTTTCAAACATACAACACTGATGACTTGTGCCAAATTCCATTTTGAAGATCAGGAGGAGAAGAGGAGGAGGAGCCACCAGGTTCCCTCCCCCCCCAGCAACAAGGGAGGCCATCTCCTCGCTACCGACTGGCAGCAGATCAAGCCAGGGCAGGCTAGGTGGGCACAACCTTCACCATCTTGGCCAGCTAGCAGAAGCTGCCTGGACAGCCTTAAGCCAACTCCATCCAATCTCCTAACCCTCTAAGCACAATCTTGCAACTCTGTGGAACAACCAAGGCAGTAGAAATGAATCATACCTGAAATATTTCTGAGCCAGTACATCTCTGCCTCCTTTCCTTTGCTCAGCCAGGAGACCGGAACAATCCAGTTGTAACTGCAGGAAACAGGTTGTCAGTTAAGCAGCTTCTATCCTCTCTTGTTCTTCCCCTTGCCTCAACCTGGTCCTCTTCATTCTTGGACTGGATAAGCCTCGTCTCCCCAACAGCAGGATGTGGCCCCCATAGCCCCGGGGATGTCCTCCCCCTCTCTGCCTCTGGACAAGGCTCTTTCCATGCAGAGATCTGACCTCCCCACAGAGGCTCAAAGCTCCTGACTTACTTGAACGGTGAGGGTCGCTCAACTGGACTTTCTGGGTCCAGCAGAAAATGTTTCTGGGTGATGGTGCCTGTAGTGGTATTAACTGTGAGAACCGGGAAGCCCATCTGCAAGGTCCAGCGGTCCATGATAGCCTTGACAGAGTCTGGGAGACTCATGTTCCTCTTGTACACCACCTGTCCCAGAAGCATCAAAGATACTCAACTTGAGAAGGTGGCTCTTGGCTCTGGTATTCCCAAATGCCTAGTCTCAAGATTTGGACTTTGTGGCAGGAATTGCATGCCAGGCAATTGATTGAGGCCAACTGCCTTTGAAATATAGCTCCTCTCTCTTATCCACGGACCTGTCTCTTCCTTGGCTGGGCTGGTGGTTGGCAACATGGGCACGGGCCCACAGAAGGAAAGATGAGATGGTTCCCACTGGAGTTGGGCAGACACAACAGCCTGCAACTTCAGAGGAACAATTTGAGTAAGATGGAGTACCAAAGGTTGAGAACCAAGGCAGTTGAACTTCCCACTCATCACATGCTTGGGACCTGGTGTTCCTGTTACTTTTAGCATGAACTTTGCACTGTAGCCTTCAAAAGAAAGCATTGTAAGGCAGTAGGACCAAGAAGACAGCCAGATGCCTTCACAGCTGTCTTGGCTTCCTGGTGAGTTTGGATTTGGGGATGGGTTGCTAAGAGTGGGCATGCAGGAGCTCTGAAGGAAGAGAGAGTGGCTTTAGATAGGGAAATGTCAGATGGACTTCCAACCAGAGGACACAGGAGGACACCCTCAAGGGGGGGGAGGTTGCTGGAATTGACCTTTCACACGTATGGAAAGGAGGGCTGGGGGAGGCAAGAGGCCACTCGGGACGTTGCTGGTAGCCATAGCTGTCTCCATCAGGTCCCTAGAGGCAGAGGCTGAGGGGTTGGTTGGCCTGGTTGGGCGCTTGGGGGAGAGGATTCATTTCTAAAGCTGCTCATGGCATCACAAAGGAGGATCACATCGGCTAGAAAGACGTCCTTCCATCTCTGGGATTCAGAAATTCTATGGAAGCAGCTAGAACAGGCTGCAAAACCTACCATCTGCAGTTGTTCCCAGAGGTCATCACAGACCGTGTTTCCATATTGGTAGGTCTCAAAGTAGGACTGTGGAGAGAGGAGAGCCAGGTGAGCACAATTCCCAGACTCAGCAAAGCTCCAGGTGCCTTTTGCATGGGTGTGTGGGTGTGGGTGGGTGTGCATGTGCGCACATTGATGGCAATTCCCTCGGCAGCTGCTGATTTCCCTCTGCCACATTCAAGACTGGGAGGGGCAAGGAGGAGCCCAGCCAGAAGCCACCACAGGGCCCCACCCAGATCTTGGGGCTAAGTTATCTAGTAGACGGAAGGTCAGCAGCCCCAGAACCTGAGGGCACGAAGATGGAGGAAAATGTCAGCTTGGAGAGGGGCACAGAGGTGTCGTATCCCTACAAGTCACCACTCAAAACCCCCAGTAAAATGAGTAAGATTTTACACAAGTTGGAGCTGCTGCTGGCCCAGGGACAAAGCCGCCTGCCTGTCTCCAGGGGTCAGAGGGACACGGGAAAGGCTGTTTGCTCATCCCACCAAAGGGCCTTTTGGTTTCCGTTGGTTGTTCACCAGCGTGGCAAACTGAGGTTGTTCTGAGCCTGGCCTTTCCCCAAGGGGCTGCCTGGATCTGTGTGAGATCTGCTCTTTTACACACGCATCTCTCCCCCCGACCCTGCAAACTACACAGCAGAGGTGGCCTTCAGCAGGTTCTGAGCAGTTCTGGAGAATCCATAGCAGAAATTTTGAGTAGTTCAAAGAACCGGCAAATACCATCTCTGGCTGGCCCCGCCCCCATCTATTCTCTGCCTCCCGAGTCCCAGCTGATCAGGAGGAAATGGGGATCTTGCAGTTTCTTTCCCCTGCCATGTCCACCAAGCCACGCCCACCAAGCCACGCCCAGAGAACCGGTAGTAAAAAAAATTGAATCCCACCCCTGCGGCACAGCCGTACATACGTCCTGGGGTGTATATGTGTGTGTCACATTTTTAGCTTGTGCCCCAGTCAGGGAGGTGAGGTGAAGGCAGCCCCTTACCTGCAGCCCTTCTCCAAACACGGACTCGGTGAGGAATTCGGACAGCATTCGGATCACAGACGCCCCCTGCAGGCAGAAAAGAAGCTGCAATGAGGCAAGCACAGCCCCCTCCCTCTTCCTACTCCCCCCTCTTTTGTTCCTCCAGAGGAGGATCTTGCACAAGAGGGCCGTGCAGGGAGGGCATGGACCAGACCTGGTCCCAGACTTATTGTGGGCAGCCCTGGGGATCGTCTGAGGAAGAATACAGCAAATCCCTCTTTAGTTCTCCAAAGCCCACATTACACAGCTGTGAGGAGGCTCAGTAAACAGATACTGAATTCACAGACTAACAGAAGGGACCTTGGAGGTCTTCTAGTCCAGCCCCCTGCTCAAACAGGAGAACTTGATACCATTCTGGATAAATGGCTGTCCAGTCTCTTTTTAAAAACCTCCAGTGATGGAGCACCCACAATTTCTGGAGGAAGATTAATTGTTCTCACTGACAGGAAATTCCTCCTTAGTTCTAGGTTGGATCTTCCTTAGTAAGTTTCCATTCAGTACTTCTTGTCCTTCAGTCCGTCAAATATGGGAAGATTGCTATCAATGTGCTCTTTAGCCCTTCTCTTTTTTAGACTAGATATGCCCAGTTTTTGCAACCATTCATCGCACATTTTAGCCTTCAGCCCACTAGTCGTCTTTGTTGCTCTTCTCTGCACTGTTTCTAGAATCTCAAGATCTTTTTTGTATCGTGGGTGACCAAAAGTGGATGCAATATTACCAGTGTGGTCTTCCCAAGGCATTATGAAGTGGTACTGAAACATTGAATGATCTTGATTCAATGCAGCCTGGACTGTGTTGGCTTTTTTGGCAGCTGCAGCACACTGCTGGCTCATATTTAAATGGTTGTCCACTAGGACTCCAATATCCCTTTCACAGTTACTGCTGTTAAGCCAGATGCCACCTATTCTGTAGTTGTGCAAGTGTGTTTGTGTAAGTAAGTGTAAAATCTTATCACTGAATAGCATTTTGTTTTATAGGGCCCAAGGTTCAAGTCTGTCAAGATCCTTCTAAAGTGTTAGCTATTCCCCCAGGCTTGGTATGGCCTGCAAATTTGATGAATTCCTCTTCTAACCCCCCATCTAAATCATTTATGAAGATATTGATGAGAACAGGGTCCAAGGCAGAGCCTTGAGGTACCCCACTGTATGCTTCCCTCCATGTAGATGCAGTCCCTACATGCTGAGTGTGGTTGATCAGGCAATTGAAAATGGCTCTGGTGGTGATCCACCTCTGAATCCACCCATTCCAGACAAGAGAAGGGACTTTCAAAAGAAGGTGCGGGAAAGATAGAAGTTCTCCTTCTCTTCTGTCCTTTTCAACATCCCACATTTTTCTAGCTTACAAAGAAGTAGGTTGCGGTCTATTTTCTCAAGTGCCTTACTGAAATCCAAGTACACTATGTCTGCAGCATTTCACTGGTCCACTAATTTAGTCACTTTGTCAAAAAATGAGATAAGGTTTCTTTGGCATGATCTGTTTTGACAAATCCCTGTTGGCTCTTGGTTATAACTTTACTTTTAGGTGTTTCTAGAAAGCTGCATTGCCTTTCAAAAGATGGGCCACTTTCATTATATTTCTTGATACAAGCTTACTTTTACCAGCACTCCTGGGCCATTCCAATTTGGGCCATTTGGAAAATAAATGGATCCTGAATAAGAATCCTGAACTTGTAGAGCAAAACATGAACTCTTCTGGGATGGGCTTTTATGTCAAAGCCTTCAAGGGCTCTGCTCCTGCTTGAAGGGTTCAAGCAACCTTGGAGCAAGGAGGGAGGGGCAGTGCTCCTACTGGTACAACCTGTCCAAGGTTGATCAGTTTCTTTATTTTGATTTTAAATGCCAGTCCCCCTCCCAACCTGCCCCCCCCCTCTCTCTCACACACACACACTTTTACTTGGCCCTGCATTTTAGCTTTTCTCCACCTGGTGGGACGCATCTGCAGGTTGAAGACAGTTCACTCTTCTTGCTGTGGGATGGATTTTCCTGCTCCTGGCATTTGCATGCATTTGCCCAGAATCCCCTCTGGGGTGAAGGCAGCCCAGCAAAGCCGATAACAAATCCCTCCTGCTCTCAAAGTCAGGCAAGGTTTCACCAAGCCCCCTCCTCACCTTACTGTAGGAAATGGCGTCAAAGACTTCACTGATCTGAGCTGGAGTGTTGATTTCATCTGCAGGGCTGGAGAGGGGGTGTGAGGAAGCCAGGGCATCGATGGCCATCACACGGTAGACATCGTTTGGTACAATCAGGTCTTTCTGAAAAAGAAAGCCTTAAACTCAGATCTGGCCCCTAGTCCTCCTTCCACCCAAGGCCACAGTGGGCAGCAACCTTATTGACACCCGTGGGCCTAGAGTTGGAAGGGCAGGAGGTGGAAGTTCTCCTAGATCTACCACAGGGACCTCGGTTCCAGCAGGAATCTGTGAAGCCTTCCTAGCAGGATCATCTTTGTCCCAGGAGAAGTCCTTTCTCTCCAGAACCAGGAAAGGCACATCTAGAGGAGTTTTCTCAGCCTTTCAGAGACTTGGGTTGGATGCACCAAACACCCTCAGCCGTGTCAGTTAAAGACCTAGTGCTGCCTTCAGACAACCTGCTTACCCTGGGAGAAGAGAAGAGCTAACCAGTGCATGAATTTGGCTAGTTTGTGATTTAGTGGACTCTATTAAACCAGGAAACGGGTTAAATGAGTGGATTCAGGAATTATGTTACCCGTTGCATGTAAACTCTGCTTTGTGAAAGGACTGCTGCCCAGGAATCTTGGCAGTGGATGAAGTGGGCAACCATTGCAGCCTCCGGATTCTTCCTACATCTGGATTCCCTTTCCAGGACTGGCTGTTTTTCTGCTGCTCGGCTCAGCCTTCCTCCTGACAATTCGGCCTCCCACAGATGCGCCACTTGATTTGCCTCATTCAGAACGCGGTCAGCTCTTGGCTCCAGATTCTGCTGGGCTCTTCCCAGAGCTACTGGGGCAGCCGGACTCCAAGCACAGCTACCCACTTAGCCAACCCGGAACTCGCCCTGGCCAACTCTCTCTTCTGCAGGGGCTGGGGGTATCCCACCCTCCACTGGCACCTTTGGGCTGGTCGAGACCAGGAGAAACTTGGTGGTTAGTGTGAGTTTGGGAAAAGCCGCTCTCCTATTGTACTGCACTGCTCCAGCCTTGGCCAATCAGGGCTGCCTTCCCATCCCCATCCAGCACCCCACCCTACTTACAATATTCCATGTGGGCTCAGCTTTATTTGCACCCAAATATTCCACGTAGGACGCAAAGCCCTCGTTGAGCCACAGCTCATTCCACCATTCCAGGGTTACCAGGTTTCCAAACCACTGTTGGGAGGAAGGAGGTTAGTCCCGTAAACACTTTTTCTAGGTATGTGAGGGGATAGCATGAGGGTGCCAGGGGTTTAGCCAGAGTGGATTACGCAGAGGATCTCTTGCATGCCCTCCACGTTGGTAGGGATTCAGGGCTCCAGAAGTGCAATCTAGAACATACCTGGTGGGCAACTTCATGAGCAATCACTGTCACAATCCGTTCCTTGTTGCCAATGGAAGAGAATTCGGGGTCAAAGAGTAGCGCACTCTCACGGTATGTGATAAGCCCCCAATTCTCCATGGCTCCAGCGTTGAAATCCGGAAGGGCGACTTGGTCTGGGAAGAGAAGTGCCTCCTGTTAACTGAACCAACCCCCCCCCCCCCAGGACTCCCTGTCCAACCTTGAGCCGCCCTCGCTGATCTAAGCATCTTTTCCCCCACTCAAAGCATCTACCGCTCTGGCAGGGGCAGCGGGGAGCTCACTGTGCTAAGCTGCCAAGAGTGATCCAGGCTCCCTGTGAATGCTGAGTGCAAGAATTGGGGGGAGATGAAGCAGATGGGGAGGGTCAGGCCCACAGGACACCCCTCATGACTGAAGGCTACACAGGTCTCCCCACCCCACCCCCGCCCAGAGTCCAGGCTCCCATCTGTGACTCAGCCCTACCTACCTAATCTCTTCAGGGGATAAGGCACGTGGTACTCGTCTTCGAAGAAGCTGAGAATGGGCCAGGTGGCATTGAGGGCGTAGTCCCCCTGGCCCTCCCGGATCGACTTGGGACGGCCCCAGATGTTGAGCTGAAAGAGGAGCCAAGCGCGCTCAGGCAAGGGCCCCCTCCCAGGCAGGGCAACCCAGAGGAGGCCCCTGGGATGGGCAGTGGGTCCCCCGAGAGAGCAGGCCTACCTGGGTGTTATTGGGCACAGCAGAGACATTCTCAAACTCGCTGACAATAAAAGCAAGCAAGTAGGTAGACATCTTGAGTGTGGGTTCAAATTCAGTCCGCATCCAGATTTCTCCATCTGACATTACTTTCTCTGTCTCTGGAAGAGGAGGCCGAGAAGGAAGGGGTGAGCTTGGCCCCCTTGCCTGACCCTCCTCCCCAGGTGAGAGGGTTCTCTCTCCCCAAGCACAAGTTCCCGAAGGAGGGCACCCTTCCCTTTTGGCCCTTTGGCCTGGCCATCCTTTTGGGCAGAAGGCCCCCGACCCCTTTTCACTCCCTCGCAGAGCCAACTGACAGGCTGGGGAGCTCGGGGGGTGTGTGTGTTTTACATGCCCTGAGTAAAAGCAGAGGAATCCTCCCCTTTGGAGGCAGAAGGGGGATTTTCCCTGCCACTAAATGCAGCCAAAACATTGCATTGCTGCCATTGTTGCACAATGTGTCCCATGGGGAGGGGAGGGGGCAGCTTTGAGCCGAAGGAGCCTTGAATGGTTGTGGGTGTCTTCTGCTCTTTCTGACTCACAGCCATCAGGGAGCAAATTGCCTATTTAAAGTGACAGTCATCACAAATATGGGTGCCCCCTCCCTCCTCTCAGACCCCTCCCTTTCCCCCCGCTTGTTTTTGCCTTGGGAAACACAAGTGGGTGGATGCATCTCCCACCAGACTCATTTCAGCCCGAGGAGTCCCGCCCCCCCCCCCAACATCTTCCGTGGCAGCAGCAGCAGCCTTTGCCGCCACCCAGCTACTGCTAAAGCCTGGCCTTAAGGAGTCCCTCCCCATTTCTAGTGGCCCCAAAATCATTTTTCCACACCCTCGGACAGCCCCCTAAAGGACCTTTGTCCTGCTGAGTCAGTCACCTGGCACCACCTCCCCAGCCCCATTCCTGCCCCCCCCCCCCGCTTGTCTCCGGTTCAGCCTCCGGTTTCCACAGAGGGAAGTCTTGCCAGCCTCTTAGACGAGCCCAAGCGCGAGAGCAGTGCAAGTCCTCTTCACTGCCCACTGCCCTTCTTCTGCCCTCCCACTCCCCACGCCAGGCACTTACTGTTAACAGGCATGTTGGAGAGGGCCGTATAGGCAGGCGGGTGAAGCAGCGTGATGGTGAAGACGGCCTTCATGGCTGGCTCATCAAAGCAAGGAAAAGCCTTGCGGGCATCAGCAGCCTGCATCTGGGTTGTAGCCACCAGCCTGGAGAAAGACAGATACCAGATGGTCAGTCAGGATGCCCAGGACCCTTTCTATCAACCGGGCCTGCTCTTCCTGCTCCATCTGGGACTCTCAAGGGGTCGCAGATACAACCCCAGGATAAGGTCCGTTTGCGGAGCAGACTTCCCAGTCCAGGTGTGGGACAGGCATGGTGGCATCTAGGAGGATTTGCTGCTTCTGCTCCACCCACAGGTTCTCCCTTTGGCTCATTACTATTTCTCAGAGGTAACATTTCCTGACACACAAGCGGGGGAGGGACTCAGTTCGCGGTGGGTCTGCTGCTCCCAGGGCATCAGCTTCTTCCTAGGAAGGTGCAGCTGGGCCTCCAATCCCGCTCCCAGCCCAAGGCCCGAAAATTGCCACGGCTGCCATGTTACAAAACCCACTAATGGAAGAGATCTCTGTGGGTCCTCTTCCTGTCCCCATGATTCCCCCCCCCCACCTCTGTCCTTTCCACCTACTTGTCTACTCCATCTTCTGTATATACGCTGCGGTAGAAGCCAGCCAGATCATCTGCCAGTTCCCCAGTGAACTCAGCATGCAGCTGATAGGTCTCATTCTGCAGGAGCTTCTCCTTGAGTTTCACCACCAGGTACTCTGTCTTCTCCACTAGCCAAGTTCTTTCAATGGGAGGTGCGGCAACATTAACTCCTCTCAGGGATGCAAGGAATGTCTCCTGCAGAGTGTAATTCAGCTTTTTGCTGTGGATGAGTATGAGGTCCGTAGGCTGCTTGCACTGGAACTCCACTGTGCTCTTGCCTTTGAAAATGTAGAAGTTTGGTCTGAGCTCTGTCAGAAAAGGCTGCAGAGAGACAGTGTAAAACGTGGGCATCAAAGTTTTGGGCAACCGCATGTGGTCCCAAGGCTCCAAAGGCTTGGTTGGGATAGTGCTGTTGGCGCCAGCCGTGGTAGCTTGGATGGTGCTGGTCGTGGTACCTCTAGGGGTGCTGGCCGTTGTACCTCTGGTGGTGCTGGTCATGGTAGCTTGGAGAGTGCTGGTTACAGTAGCGCCAGCCGTGAGGGTGGTGCTTGGGCCCTGGTTGCCGAGCGCATTGTCTGCCCGCTGCTTCTCCTGGGTGTAGACAACCGAGAGGGCAATGATGGTGGCCACAGCCCCCAGGCCAAGGACAATGCCTACGATCCCCAAAGACTTGCTGATGAAGAATCCTTTGGCCATGGCTGAGGAGAGGCCAAAGAGGAACTCGCACACAAAGGGATCTGCTTAGATGCTGTTGGTCCTTTATATACGTATGGCCTCTGGGGAATTATTAGTGTGATTGATGAAACATGTCAATGATTAAGCCGAGAATGGTGGGCAAAGGTCACTTCTGCTCTGGGGCCATCTTCTCTTATCTTGGGAGAGAGTTAATGGAGAACTGGATGCACCTCGATTTGGTTCCTGTGGAGATAATCAACCCCAGTTTCAAAGGACTCTCAGGGCAACATGGCCGGCTGCCTCCCACCTGCAGTTGCTTTTGGCCAAGTCCCCCGAGGGGCAGGCTGGGGATTCAGGAGGAACTGCTGGCCCTGCGAGTACAGGGTGGACTGGAGATCCAAGCCCAGCTGGTGCACCCACTACTAGGTGTAGAAGGCAGATCTGGAATTTTCCTCGCCAGCCCCTGGAGGTCCTCCAAGACCTTTTTGTCCCCTTTCTCATTATCATTTTCATTTGTTTAAAAAGTATAGGGCCTTTTCTTAAAATATTGTATTAATGTTAATAAATCAATGGTTTTCAACCTTTCCTTCACCACGGACACCCTTTAAATATCTTTTGCGGCCACGGATCATGGTCATGGGCCCCTAAGACTTAAGTTTTAAATCATTACATTTCTTCAAGCCTTTGTGGACCCCCTAGGATGACATTGTGGACCACAGACTGCAAGTCGTGAACCCCTGGTTTACATGATTCAATAAATAAATACAGCACTTAACACTAGCAGACTTATATACCATTTTACAGTGCTTCGCAGCCCTCTCTAAGCAGCTTACAGAGTCAGCCTCTTGCCCCCTGCAATCTGGGTCTTCATTTTACTAACGTCGGAAGGATGGAAGGCTGAGTCAACCTTGAGCCCCATCAGGATCAAACTCCTGGCAAAGGGCAGTCAGCCTGCAGTATTGCATTCTAACCACTGCGCCACCATGGCTCATTCTATGAATACATAATTTTTAAAAATATTGCAAATATCAATAAATATAACCCCTACAAACAAAAGCTCTTTTGGGGTCTTCCATAATTTTTAAAAGTGAGACATGGTTCTCCCAAGCAGAACATTTAAGAAATATTGTCCTAGGCGAACATCTCAGCTGGAAACTTAGAAACAATTAGCATTTTCTGTTCCAACCTTTAAAGGTGAGATTTTCCACCTGCTCATACACAGAGTGTGTACAAGTGCCAAATCCGGTATGGGTTGGAAGCTGGAGAACATGATTCGGTTCAGTCCAGGCCAGACAGTCTCTGGGTCTGGACTTCAGGAAGGAAATCTTCTGCTAGCTGGCTTATTCCATTGTTTTCCATCAGCCAAATGGCATCCAGCAGCTGCCTTTACCTTCCCTGGGGGTTTTTCCCCCTGGTGAGCTGAGGTGCCCTCCACCCTCGTTGCCAACTGATTATGCAGCCAGAATTGTCTCTGGCTACAGACGCTGCCAAAGGATGCAGAATGTAGTCAGAAAATCAGGTTGAGCTGCAGGAAAATACCTGCCCATCATAGCACAGCAGCAGGAACTGGTGTAGGACTCTCGTCCCTCTAGCAACTCTCCCTATTCGGTCATCATCCATTTCTTTAGAACATTTATAGGGCTGCTCAACTCACAACGATTCCAGCTGGCTTACCAACATAAAAGCCCACACAGAAAACCCAAGAACCCCTCTTCCCAGTGATAACAATCAAGCAAGACCCTTGATGGCCTCTACATCACCCTGGTCCTTTTGCCAAAAGCACTAAAACCTGGTTCAATGAACGTGGGATTACTGTGCTTGATTGGCATCTCCATTCTTCCTCCATACTCTGGGTC